AACTGTTATAATTATTAATCCAAAAAAGTTTTTACGTATTCACGATTGGTTACCGATCCGGCCACTCTGCGATCGCTGATAGAAGAAAACGGATGTCGGTCGGAGGAAAAGACAAAAATGCATACACAGAGAATCAGAGCAGAGACGCTTCGGATACATCGGGATAACGGAGGCGGGAAAAAGAGCGCCGAGTGACAAGGAAGGTGACGACGATCAGTGATTTATGCTCTTGGACACTTACATTGGTATATGTGGGGTGGTGCTACGGAGGATACCACGGAGATGCTGTCCATGTCGAGACCGCTGCCCTCGACCGTAATTGTCGGCGTGCCTGCGCGGAAATATATATAAAGGACATCAATTTTACAGTAAAGGGAGGAAAGTGCGGGTAGGTGTCGGTGGAGCCCGTCACGCGGGCCTCGTGTCACGTACTGTACTGGGGCTGTCAAGAACGAGCTTCCCCCGAGGTCGCCGCTTTTGGCGAGCTTGTGTTCTTTATGTTGCAGCGCCCTTACGACGATGACGGAGCTGATGTCACCGAAAGTGGAACGAAGAGAGGTGGACACGTCGCAACGTAGTAAAGTGCAAAGTAACTTGACGCCTGACTTTTTGCACGAGATAATGGACGCGGCCATTAACGAGAATTTCTATCTGGCTAATAGGGAAAGTTTTAATTGATAACGCTTGGGGTAATGTTTAATTGGCTAATTAACTTTTAATTCCCCATTATTAGCCGCATGACAAATTCGAAACGGCTTACTGTCAGTTTATCCAAGATTGTTGTGAGTTTTATTAATTAGTTCTTTAAATATATCGTGTTCGATTTAATTAACATTATTCATTAACATTAATTGATAATTATTACATAAATATATACATTATGTAAATATATACAGTTACATCATTAAATCCTCTTGCTATTCCGAAGCGCTCTTTATCTTGTAAAGAAATGTTAAGGGATAGTTAGAATGGCGGTAACATCCTGAGTAAATGTTTAACTTGATAATGTAACTTGGTAAGAGTTTGAATAATCCTGAGACTTGAGCGTTTCTGCGCATCCTAAAGAAGCATCTTTCACGCTTTGATGAAAATCATGCACGCGTATTAAACCCGCCGAACTCTTCGGTGACCGCGAATGTTTACTGGAATCTCGAATCGATCAAATCATTTTGATGCAACGGCACGGCGATTGGCTGAATAATACATGAAGGAAGCGTGTACTCGATTAGACTGCCACCACCTACGTTCGATACCATTCGCGACTGACGCCGTCGGACTATTTTTCAAACTGGTACTTAACCGGATGTGCACTGGCAATCCCTTCTGAATAGACGATTAATCTTAGGGCTCGTTGCACCTAAATGCCGAAGTCATTATCTCCTAAGCGGGTGTCACTCCGATTGTGATTAATAGTAACTCTAGATAAACCCACGCTCCTCAAAAATGTTCATTTGTTGCCACATTATTTATAATAAATTACTGTCAATATTATTACACCGTTACTTAGCTCAAAACTTTTCATATAATTGTTATATCATAAGAATTAAAAAGTTTGCGTTTTATATGATTTTAAATGTATAAATTTTTTAACTCGTATAAAATGCAGATCAAATCCATGTACTAAATATTAAAAGTAGAATTAAACAAATTCACGAGAAATATCATTGAGCGAGATAAATTATCATGACATTAATCTTCATCTTAATTCAAATCATCTTAAGTCAAATCCAGGCAGCTCGCTGCACAACGCGATATACTTCGCGTTATACAAGGCTTTATTCACAGAAATGTATAAAGGGATGCTTGTAAAAAGATTAGCTAAGGCGACTTCACATCGTTACAAAAGAGAAAGAGGATTTTATCCTGTACAAAATCCTCTTTACGAGATACATTTTCCTTCTATTTCCATTTTCTGCACTTTCCCGTAAAACTCTTTTCTTTTTTCTCATCTTTCTTCCTCATTGTCTAAATATATTTCATACCTTTTAGCACGGTTCCGTACGAACGAGGCGTAATTAAAATAATAACGGGTCTAATCGCTGTCTCTAAATGATCCTCACCATCCGTCGTGGAGTCCGAGAGATTTCCGCCGACGCTGGTCGCCCCGCCGCTCTCGCGATCGCTGGACCCGCGGACGCCACTGTCCGCGCTGCAGCTGCCGCGATCGCCAGCTTGGCCGCCAGTGGATCCTCCTACACCCGACCCGCCACCCACATTACCCATGGACATGCCGAGTTCAGTGGCGCCCAAGGGCGGTTGGGAATTCATGTGAGGGATGATGCCGCAGCCACCGCCGCCGCCGCCGCCGCTGCTGCTGCCGGCTCCGGGCGTCGCAGCACCGTTCACGCTGCCTCGCGGAAACGATACCAGGGACTCCTGGTCGCTCAGGCAGACTCCGCCGGCACCGCCCCCGCGTTCTGCCAGCTGACGTTGCAGCTGCAACGATAAACAAGTGCACTTTACAGCGCCGGTCGTTATAACGGTTCGCGACAACAGGAAATCCGGAAATATCACCGGAAAATTGTCACAAAATTCATATTTTAGATATTAAAAAAATTATTAAAAAATTACTAAATAATTACTATAATTTTGAGTCACGAGAAATTCATTTTTCTCTTTATAATCTTTAAAGTCCTCTTTATTGTAATTATGTGTATGAGACTATGTGATTTTCCTGTACTGTTTCCTGGAATCTACTGAAACGAATCCCAATTTTAAACTCGTTAATTTAGTTAAAAAAAAAAACGCGTGTGTTCGACGAGCAGAACTCACCTCTTTTATGGTCGCGTGTGCGTGCGAAAGGGCGACCTCTTTCTCGGCCAAACTAGCCGCGAGGCTCACGCTTCGATCGGCTTCGTCCCTTGCCGCCCTTAGAAGACTCCAGCGTTCCCTTTCCCTCTCCCGTTCGCGTTCTTCCGAAGGCATGCCGGCTCCTTGCTGAAGACGTCCCAGGGTCGCCTCATTCTCCCGCATCCGCTGCAATCAACGGTCAAAAGGACCAAGTCCGGGCAGTAACTCCGCCCCCAAAACTTTCACCGTCTACAGTAATGGCATGCACGTGATAGGAAAATTGCGAGAAGCATAGCGATCAAGCAAATTATTTTTATCTTCTTTTTTTTTTTTTTAGTCAGATACCGCGATTTATGTTTCATAAGAATTGAAAGAAAAACTGAGATGAGCGACAAATAAAATTAGAATACAGATCAAAATAATAAATTGCAGAAGTTATGTCGTGTACGTTTTATCTGATTAGATCATTGCGAATAATGCATTTTAGAAAATTCGATCCGTGAACAAAGATTTCACTGTTTGAAGCGAATTATCTTTCGTAAATATTTCTTCTATTGTGTAGCATAAAGAAGAAGTGAATACTAGGTCGAAAACATTTATTTCCATTATCGAGAAATAATTATTTTAATATTACAACAACGTCAATTAACCTTATAAAATCAATATTCGCAAAATCCGTTTGCGGAATGAGTTAATAATTAATTACAAGCTGAACATTGCGTCCGAATTGTGCGGAGGCACGAGACACGAGGAATGATCGATATTCGATAAAATAACTTTGGCCGCACCGGCGAGCAATGATTTCGTCAGTCGACAAACTAATAATGGCGGTGAGAGCAAATAGCCGCTGGAAATCAAATCGAATTCGAGAATAAATATCCGGCTGATTCACAAAAATGTCAATCGATACCTATTCGCGAAACTGTTTCGCGTTATCTCGAGGGCGTCGCTTCGAATGGGAAATGGATGAGAGGACACTCGAGACGCGATTTGGATCTTTGCGTGACACGAATGGACTCTTATAATTGACATCCTCCACTCGATAATTTCGTGTCGTGTTACACGTATAATTAATGCTCGGCAAATATAACATATCGTGTAATTAAGTAGAATAATTGAAAATAATCGAATGAAATAATTACAAATTTGATCAATGCTCAATATTTATAAAATTATCCCCAAATAATAAAGTTATATTTAATTTGCTGTTGTGCGGCCGTTAGATCGACGTGAAACTAATAATACTTTTGTACTAAATATAAAATTCAATTTTTTTCGCATTTCGCAAAGTTTTTCAAATGTCGCACATAATTAAAGTTCAGTAAATAGATGATGAGATAACTGAGCGTGTCGACAAGATTTTCAATTAGACGAGAGGATAATTTGATCTTGCGAAAGGCACGATTATATTTTAGTGCGAACAAGTGTGACGTTTTACCATCTATCATTAGACGCTCCGTCAACGATATCAACTACGACAAAGTTAATTCACTTATCTCTATCTTGAGTGCAAGTAACTCTCTGTTGTACGTATAACAGGTGTTGCGCCGCAAGGTTTATCGGCTAAACTTTATGGCGATACAGTTATTACAAGCGTTGCAGATCATCCGAGGATCGATTGTTAACGTCGTTGTAGTTACATCTTCAAAAACTGTTGCGTGATATCCCGGACGTACAAAGTTCTTCGTTATCCGATATAATTAGCGACGCTAAAATAATCATCACACGTTAGAGGCAGCCGAAAATCCGATTATAATGTTTCAATCTTTTGTCATATTGATTAAAGAGATGTCATGTTGATTATTTTTATATAGTTTGATTTTTATCATCATATTGTTTAATTTTTAATTGATTTATTATAATTAATTTGACATTAAAACCGTTGTATTTTGACTATTACCGCTCCTTCCTAGCGGTAATTTTTATTTTAAGGAGATTATTATTACAACAGACAAATTATATAGAGTGCACTGCTAATTAATAATTTTAAGATATAACAACAAGCACTTTATAAGCTTCAGGAATTAAGAGCAATTTAAGGGAAATTTTTTTTATTACTGCTGTGTGTGTGTGTGTGTGTGTGTGTGTGTGTGTGTGTGTGTGTGTGTGTTCATTACGTTCCTCTATTATAATTTTAGCGGGATCGTTGCGTTCATAAACATTCATAAAGCATTCAAGTATATTAAATTCCTTGGAAGCGGACTACTGTATATAAATGCCCGACAATTTCCCGTGGCAGCGGGATGCAAAAGAAAACCTAGGCAATTTGAAAGCTTCGGCAAAAGAAAGGATAATGCCATCAAGATAATGTTATAAGCGCATTGCCGGGCTACGTCGGATGAGAAACAAGAAATAAGTGTGCGCCCGTTATATATTTATCGGCTAGATTTTTTTAAGTCGCCTAATAAATGTCAGAGCATAAAACTTGAGAAAAATAAAATTATTTAAGAAATACAAATTGATTTTTCCTCGTTGCAATGGAAATAATTTGAAACACAGTGGTGGTTTGAAAAAATTGAATCGTCGTTATATCAGAAGAATTTGACACCAGTTGTTCCCAAAATCATTTTCAATCATCAGTAAATTATTGGCCGATGTTATCTCGAGGCACTTTTCTCTTGCTTATTCACGTATACAATCGCAGCCTTGTCAAGGAAGGGAAAACTGAAGATAACGTAAGATAGAAAATAACCATAAAATCATGCATCAGGCATAATAATATGTCGGCACTCGCTGAGAAACGATGAAGTAAATTATGCACAAGGAGAAAGAACGGATGAATGCAGAAGGAAGAAAGAGAGATAAAAGTGAAGGAAAATTGACGGTACGCTTTATGGGAGGAAAACCACCGTAAAACGTGTGTATTCTTTCGGGATGATAAAGGCAACACGGAGGAATCTACGACGATGCATGTACCGCTGCTGTCAATGACACTTAAGGTTGATATTTTCATCAGGAACTTCGGAGTAATAAAGTTATTTTTCAGATAAACGAGTAGCAAAATTTAAACTTTCACAGGATCAAATAGAAGATTATCTCTTTGGTTTTGGTAGAATAAACGCTGTATGTAATGCTTTTTTGAAATTCACGCAATTTTATAAAAGCGACGAAAATGATTAATACGAGAGCACAATGTTATAGAAGATATTTTTTCCAATTTTTATTCAGAAATGTGTTCAGCAAATTTGAAATATTTACATAAATATACGTATTGACATAATAAAATTTGGTTAGATATTTTATATCAGTTTTCGTGTTAACAAAATAATTAGGTTTGTTTTTCCCTGTATATTAATTTTCCTGTAATTAATTTTGTTTGTTATACGTCACGATCTTTTTTATTTAATGCAACATTATTAGATTTCCATTTCGCTGCGTTGTAAAATTCTACCTTTTTGATATTCACGCAAAAGAGGCGCGGAATCTTATTAATTAATCGCAAGTTCTTTTGTCCGTAACATCATGCACTACGTAATAACATTTTTATTAAAATACCAACATTACCATCATGGCTAACATTACGACGATGCTTTTGATCTTTGCCCAGCAATTTCGTTCACCCGGAACAATACTATTAATTATTCCTAGTCTTTGCACGCGGATTACGCTATGTCGTCAACGACATCAAACAGAGTTTTCGTAATCATTATTATAAATTTATAATTGCGATAACATATTAATCTTTGAGAATAATTGACATTTTCTGCATTATTTATTTTATTATTTAACAAAATTTGTCCAACATCTAAAAGTTCTCCTTATATATTATTAACAAAATATTTATTTATTTCATTAAGTTTGTTTTCAAAAAAATCTAGACTCACATGAACTACATACATATCTACAATATAATTTAATAATCGAAATGTAATTATTTTTATTTTCTTAATTATTATTTCTTTATCTTCTTAATTATTATTTCTCACCGTATCATACGAATGTTTCTTATTTGTCAACTTTATATTCTGATTTTTGTTTTCTCTTTTGCAACTAGCTTTATTGGAGACAAAGCGAAGATTTGGCTGTGTATTTTCTGAATAATTCCGCATGTCTGCATAGGCACCATTTCATGTAGGCCTTTCGAAACACGGGAATACCGCTCTCGGGCCTTTCGCGAATCGAGGCTGAGCCCAGTGTCTTTGTTCCGGGGTTGATAACAATCGGTAGCGACAAAAGCTCGCCACACATTCTCTCTCTTTGTCTCGGCACATCGTTACACATTGGCTTAAGACCAAACGGCCCCGTTATACCAGGGGGCAATCTTGATGCGCGATGCGCTCTCGAAGTTGGTCCTTAAGCCCTCTCTAACAGTAAGTGGCTTCACCTATGATTTTCATCATCGTGTCTTAGCTTAGAAGAAAATTAGCTCGAGATTAGATCAATTATGATAACAAATTCCATAAAATATCCAATTCAGTCACAAGAAGTTGATATGGATTGTCAATATCGATTGCGCTTTTCTTTAACAACAATGAAGTTAAAAAATTATATATATTCAATTTGCATTTTGTACATAGACTGCATCATTACATCATTCACGAATGCCGTTGTTCATTTAACGGAATGAAAATAACTGTGACTCGACGCGACTCGGCCATAATGGCGCTCGCTAAAATGAGAAATTCCAGCAAGTTTAATGAAAGTACTTAATAGGTAAAATTGTGCTCTGTGTGTCGCTTGCATTTGCGAGCTCGAACGTGCGCGGAAAATTGAGACGTGCTTGGATGACCGTTAGAAGTGTTTTCGGATTGCCAGTAACTTTTCGTCTCCAATACACGATAAATCTCTTTAACTCTTGTCATAATATTTTTTTTAACGTTTAATACGTTCGGGCATTATTTTCAAACAACATTTTTCACGCGCTGTTGCGGTTTAATGAAGTTCCAAGAACGAATCAATTACTCATTAACTACCCGCAGCGGTACCGATTGCGTATATAAAAGTTTTTAACTACGTCCGCACAATGGCGGCTCCGGGAATCGCCGTTGCGCAAACGGTGACCCTCCCGGGCTTTTTTTCTCCCCCGATATTTCCTCGTCGCTTCATAAAGACGCATTAGAGGCGAAATTAAAACCCGCCGCGGAGCGGTTTCGTTAGTCGCTCGTTTCGCGCTTGTTCTCAATTTTCATTAGCCGGTCGCTTTAGTGAGCAGAAAATTTTGTTATGCTTTAATAGTTAAACTACTCAATGTCGGATCGACGACTCGTATCGCGTTTCATCGTACAGTTATGATAATGAAACGATTGAGATCAAATTCTTCTCTCGCGGAGATTTCAAATCTCAGTAAATATCTTTTTAACGATGTAATGTTATCAATTTGAGATTTCACTTTCACTGTCTTTGCTAAGATTTGAGAGTTAAATTTCAAAGTTAGAAACTATTATCGCTAGTAGAGCTACTGCTATAAATACACGCTAAAAATGAAGCTGAGTGGATGCACAACACCGATATAAAAAAATGATTTCGTAATATAGATATAAATCCCAACGACATTTTTCTTCGCAAAGTCATTGTCTTTTTATGTCAACGGTTAATACGTCGCTCTTAAAAAAGTGTTTGCTCCCGATTGCTATTTCAAGCACTGTCGTAATCATAAATCCTATGGGAGGATGGATCTATAAAAAGTGAATGAACTCACAAGTAATTAATTGAATAATTTAATTAAATATCTCTTATTTCCGACTGTTTCATTATTTGATCAAACAGGTCAAGTATTAAATATATTTTAGATAGATATATTTTAGATTTGTTTTCCTCACGGGAAAAAAATTTCTTTACTTTTACGATGATAAAAAAGAACAAGCCAGGAATTACAGCCAAGGAATTACAGCGGCGTCGTGGCAATTTCAAAAGTTGAGCGTTCATAAATATCGAGTGCAGCGGAGCACTTCTTCCAGTTCCAGCCATCACCTTTCTTAATTCATTGCTCCTATCGAAAATCGATCCTTTTATATGAGACATGCAAATTACGATCGGGATGGTATTAGAGCTACTTTCCGACTGTTTATTACTCCTGTTCGTGGAATGTGGAAACGTCGCGATTAAATTTCCTGAATGTGACTTCCCCGATATGAGTTACGTGACATATCTCGCGTAGATGAACTCGAAATGCGGATAAAACAGAAGCACAAATCCTTCAATTTTATCGTTATAAATTGTGGAAATGTTATTTTTATATAAATAATAGGAAACCAATTCTCTATATAAAGAATTCTTGTCAAAATTTTAAAGAATTATGAAATTTTTCCAATATCTCTATTACTAACAATTCTATCGTATAATACTAACGTTCTATCGTATAAATTTAATCGTAAATGTCACACACAAAAGATATATTTTTCCGCTTTTTGAGAATAGAATGTCCCTTTTATCAATAGAACTTTTCAAACCAATATATCTTCTGATACATCCAAAGAAACCAATACTATTGAGATCGATACTTTAAATCTTCAATTTGACAAAACTATTTCTCGATCAACTTGCTCGTGATAAGCTGCCGTTTGTTCACCGTATTTCCCATCATTTTCCACTTTGCACAGCTGCGGATCATTGTGCTATTAAAAAGAAACGTCCAAGGGCATGCGAAAGAGTATTGCGAAAGTTTTATCATCCGCTGACTCACCTGCTCGTAATTCCGTATAAAATCGCGGAGTTCGCGCTCTTTGTCCTCGAGGGTGCCGTAGAGCGCTTTCATCTGATTGAGGAGATCAAACTTCTCCGCTTTGAGCCGCTTCCGGTCGGCCTTCAACGCCTGCAGTGCCTCCTTCGCGTGCTGTAATTCCATCTCCAGGGCGACAAAGCGCGCCTCTTCTTCCATCGCGGCATCCTCGGCGCCGACCTCACCGCGCGCCGCGCCACTCAGTAACAGCCTCCTCAACCTCGCGACCTCCGCCACCAGTCGTTCGTTCTCCAGTCGCAATCTTCTGGCGCTGGCCAGTTCCGCGTGTGCACCACCGCCGCCGTGGATATTGGACAGCCTGGACGCCACCACCGGATCACCAATTCCTATCCAATCGAAGTAAAAGGAAAGTCTTTACTTACAAAGTACAAGTACAAGAATTAGTTCACTAATTCATTTCATGATGAATATAAATTTTATTTGATTTAATTAATAAATGTACGGTACCAAGTGTCAAAAGTTTGAGATCACTTGTAAAAATGCACAAATATACAAAAACGAAAAATAAACTTTACTTTCGTATGTATATATTTCGTATAAATAATAGCAAATATATTATTTGGAATAATAAAATATATTATAAATTTAATATAAAATGAATGATCTCACATTTTTTAATTGGATATATATATATATATATATATATATATAGAGAGAGAGAGAGAGAGAGAGAGAGAGAAGTAATTAATTAATAATAA